TAAAAGATTTACTAGGCTTGAAAGGCACTTGTTGGAGACAGGGATGAAATCTTCACAGAGGGGCCTTCAGGGCTGGTTAGGCTCCTCAGTCTCTACGCGGACGAGGACGTGTCTGTGAGGGGCCCGTCTCCGGAGCAGCAGGCTCAGCGTGCTCAGATTGGAGCCCCACGTGGATATTTTCCTTTGCAGAAAGGTGAACCCTTATCAGTCGCGCTGTCTAGGGTCTGGGGTTGGGGGGTTGCCTTGTGGGGTCATGACCTCGTGTAGGGGGACCTTCCCGTAGGAAGGCTCCCTTCTCTGTTTTCGCCGCGAGTCCCACCTCCAGCAGCCCGCGGGGCTGGATCCCAAGGCCACGACACTGGACGATTTACAGTCCCGGCATGCAGCTCCCAGACGTGGGGCTGCCAAAACCTGAAACCTGCTGGGCCACAGCTGTGTTGGCAAAGAAAAAAAGAGAAAGGTAGGGAATGCAACTTAGCTGCCAACTTGAGTTTTCTGCTCCACTGGCCTCCTGTCTTCCCCGAAGGGCTGTCTGTTTCATGTCTCTGCTCCGATGGTCTGCTGGCCCCACCTGCAGCCTGGATTTGTCTCCACCACCTCCTTTCGCGTCCCTGCAGACAACTTGAGGCGTGTTGTTGGTCAGGGGATGGTCACAGTCCAGCTCTGGTGAGGCCAGTTCTCCCCATCAGAGAGTTCTGGTTTTGTGGAACCTTCTGGAACCCCTTGGGCCATCTCGTTTTCTGTGCGCAAGCTGGAGTGAGGTGAAATCGATAATTTAACTGTGTTCATTTCCAAGGGCTGTTGTAACAGATTATCGCAAACTGAATTGCTTAAAACAACAGAAATTTCTTCTCTCACAGCTCAGGAGGCCAGAAGTCTGAAATTAAGGTGTCGGCCGGGCTGTGCTCCTTTTGAAGGCTGGAGGGGAGAATCCTCCCCTGCCTCTTCCAGCGGCTGGTGGCTGCTGGCATCCTCCGTGCTCCTTGGCTTGTAGCTGCATTGCTCCGGTCTCTGCCTCTGTCTTCACGTATCCTTGTTCCCTCGGTGTGTCTAGCTATCCTCTCCTCTTCTTACTAGGGCACCACTCCTTGGGTTTAGGGCCCACCCTAAATCCAGGATGATGTCATCTCGAGAGCCGCAACTAACCCTATCCCCAGATAAAGTCACATTGGACGTTCTGGCTGGATGTAAATTTAGGGGGCACTCTGTTCAGCCGAATATACTGACCTTTGGAGATGTTTATTTCCCATTTATACACACAAACACACATGAAAGTACGTATTTGGGATCATCATTTTTTGTTTTAGTGCATTTAAAAAACTCAGCATTCAGTCACTTAACACATTTTTCCTTGTTAAATTCTGTTTGTAATCTTATTTTTATTTGTGGGGGGAGGTAATTCGTTTTATTTATTTATTTATTTATTTAAATATTTTAGAGGAGGTACTGGGGATTGAACCCAGGACCCTGTGCATGCTAAGCGTGCGCTCTACCACTTGAGCTATACCCTCCCCTCCCTGTGATCTTCATTTTTAATGACTGCCTCTTGCTCTGTTAGATGAGTGGCTGGATGGTTAGGAGTGTGGGTTCAAGAGCTGGATGGCCAGGGTTTGCAACCTGCCTGTCTCTTTTACTTACTGTTATGGGCTGAACTGTGTCTTCCCTCAAATTCATATGTCGGACTCCTAAGCTCCAGTACCCCAGAATGTGACTGTGTTTGGAGATGTGGGTCTTCAAATGAAGTCCTTGGGGTCATCCCTAATCCAACCTGAGTGGTGTCCTTATAAGGAGAGGAGATTAGGACATAGAAACGCACAGAAGAGAGACCAGTGGAAGACCCTGGTGAAGAAAGCCACCTACAAGCCAAGGAGAGAGGCTTCAGAAGATCGCAACCCTGCTGTCGCCTTGCTCTTAGACTTCCAGCCTCCAGAACTCTGAGGAAGGAAATTTCTGTTATGTAAGCCACCCAGTCCTTGGTACTTGTCATGGCAGCTGAGCTGACAATATACCAGCCACTGGGGCAAAGCACCAAACCTCTAAGGCCCCGTTCCTTCCCCCGTGTGATCGGGGTCTTTAGGGTTCAGTAAGGATCAGAGAGGATGCTCCGTGTGTTGCCTGGTGCAGGGTTTGAAGGCACTCTCAGCGGGTGGGTACCACCTTGATTCGTTTTGCCAGCCCTCCGTCATTGC